TGACGCAGCAGGCTGGCGGCAGAGAGGAAAGAGCCAGGCTCTGGGTACTGTTTGTCCTCCTCGGTTGCAAAAACACTGGCTGTCTTCTCTCTTTCATCTGCTCTTGAGACCGGCCCCCTTACAGCAGGATGTGCGGCATCCCACCGATGAGGAACAGGTGGTTCAGAAGGGTCCCAGCTCACCTCCGATCTGAGTCCTGGCCACATGCCTTCCACACAGGGCTCTGCCTGGCTTCCCTGAGCCCCCAGCAGCTTTCTGTGCAGGAGGAATAGCTGACAGAAAGCTGGTTTGGGGAATGAAGATGAGGATGTACTAGATGTACAGGTTAATAATGCAATTAGCTCTTAACCAGTTAATAATGCAGATTAGATTAGATATTAACCGGCTAATAATGCGGATTTGATATTAACCAATTAACAATGGCAGATTTTATAATCAAAGAAAACACGATAATTTCAAGAGAAACACCAAAAGTGCTTTATTCAAAGTAATGTCCATGGCTAGCTACACATTTCCTCACCTTTCAGGTAATTTGTGGATATTGTCTTAACAGAACTTTGTATGTTTTTTTTGTGTTTTTTAAAAAAATATATATTTTATTGATTTTGTACAGTGAGGAAGGGAGAGAGATAGAGAGTTAGAAACATTGATCAGCTGCCTCTTGCACACCCCCCACTGGGGATATGCCCGCAACCAAGGTACTACATGCCCTTGACCGGAATCGAACCTGGGACCTTTCAGTCCCCAAGCCATTGAGCCAAAACCGGTTTTGGCAGAACTTTGTATGTTTTGAGGCAAACCATTCAGAGACCCAATTTTCCACTTCTTCGTACGTTTTGAAGTGCTGTTCAGAAAGTGCCTGTGCCACTGATCGGAACGAGTGGTAATCTGAAGGAATAAGGTCTGGTGAATACGGCGGGTGGATTAATTCTTCCCAGGCAAGATCTTTTAGTGTGTCTTTTGCTGGTTTTGAAGTGTGTGATGGTGCGATATCATGAAGCAAAATTACTTTGCCATGTCTTCTGGCACGTTCTGGTCGTTTCATGATCAAAGTGTGGTTCAAATTGATTATTTGTTGTCGATAGAGATCAGTATGAATGTTTTAGATCAGTATGAATGTTTTCACCTGATTTTAGAAGCTCATAATACACCACACTTTCCTGATCCCAAAGGCAGAGCATTGTCTTCTTTCTGAAGCGATTTGGCCTCATAGTCCATGTTGATGGTTGACCTGGATCAACCCATATTTTGTGTGCTTGGGATTCTCAAAATAAATTCACTTTTCACTGCCAGTCACAATTCGATGCAAAAAAGACTTTCTTTCATGCTGTTGAAGCAACATTTTACTGATGACTTTTCAGTTTTCCATTTGTTTTTCTTTCAGTTGATGTGGCATCCATTTTCCTTCCTTTAAAATCTTTCCCATTGCTTGCAAATGATCAGAAATTGTTTGCTGAGCAACGTTTAATCTTTCTGCAAGTTGTTTTTGAGTTTGACAGGCACCTTCATCCAATAATGCTTGTAACTGTTGGTCTTTAAAGTTTTTCGGTTGACCTGGACGTTCTTTGTCTTTCACATCGAAATCATCAGTTTTAATGCATTTAAACCAGGGTTCACAAGTTTCTTGAGATGGAGCACGTTCACCATAAGCTTCCCGAAGTATACGATAACTCTCAGCAGCACTTTTCTTCAAAATAAAGTAATGAATTAAAATCTCCCTCAAATGTTCTTTTTTTGGCACAAAATGAAGTGTAAAGATATCTATGATGTTAACACCTTCAGAAAATTTGATATATGAAGTTTTGAAGCTTGTTGTCAATACAACAAAATAGCATACCTATCAAATCATATATATATATATATATATCAACATGTGTGTAACTCCATCTACTAAAAAAAATCCGCATTATTAACCGGTACACCTAGCATTTAGCCTTAGGCCAAACTGGCCTTCAGGATCTCCTGAGGAAAGAATGGATCCGGCCCAGCCCCACCACGAATTCAGGGGCTGTGCCTGCCACTCAGATACCACGTCAGGCCTCCCTCACAAACCCCTGGCCGTCTCCTCCTCCCAAAACCAGCACTCAGGAGAGCCCTCCTGCCGCCCTCCCAGTGGACGAGAGGCCCTTGAGCGTCCTGCTATCAGGGCAGGACCCTGCAGCAGGATGACCTGCTGATGTGTCCGCTCCCATTCTGTCCAATCGAAGTCTTTGCCGTCATGCAAATGTTTTCTATGTGCACCATCCAATAGGGTAGCTGCCCACCACACAAGGCTTCTGAGCCCTTGAAGTGTATGTGGCTAAAGTGACCAAGGAACTGAATTTGAATTTGAATTTAACTAGTCATGTGTGGTTACTGCCACAGATTTCTGGGCCACGAACCCAGAGTTCCTGATTCAGCAGGTCTGGGCTGCGGGGGTGGGGGGGTGGGTGGTGGTGGTAAGGGGACCTAGAACCTGCATTGCTAACAAGTCCTCAGATGGCACTAATGGTCCCTAGACCACGCCTCGACAACAGCTGGCTCACATCTGGAAGTTCCAGACTTGGATGACTCTAGAATCAAGATGGTCTGGATGTGGACACTCTAGGTTGGTGGTTCTCCAAGTGGGGTCCCTGGGGTAGACTATCAGCGTCACCCAGGTGCTTGTTGGAATCGTAGCATCTCTTCGCCATCCCAGGCTCACTGAGTCAGAACTTCACCATCCCCTCCAGCCAGGGCCTTTGGTGACCTGTGTCCCCAGCACCGAGTGCCGGGCCCACAGCAGGTGCTCAGCTAAAGGAAGGAAAAGGGCGGAGCAGGTTGCCCAGCTAGTAAGTGTGTTTCTCCTAAGGCAACGTGCTTCCCTCAGAGAATGGGCCTCCCGGCCACAACCTTCAGCTGGAATCCCTCTCCCCAAACTGCCTCCCAGGGCGGGGAAGAGACAAGACGAGACAGGTCCTCAGGCAGGAGGCCCAGCGGTCACCTTTGGGGGAACAGAGAGCTCCCCACAGAGGAGCCACTTACGATAGACCCTGTCTCTCCCCCCCCTCACCTCCTTGGTTTCCATGCCTTCTGGATTTTCTCCCTGGAGAGTTCTGACTCCAGGCTTTCCAACTGAGCGTGGGAGGTGGCAGCTGGCCTGCGGGTGTCGCCCTGTGACCCACTAACGCAAACAGCCACTCCCCTCTCACACCTGCTGCCGTTCCGGGTGCCAGACACATCGCCACCTACGTCCAGTCCTGGCACCTCTTCCTGGACCAGCTCTCCAGGAACCAGAAGTAGGTTACAGTGTTCTTGAACAGGAGAGAACCAGAGAGGTCCTCAGAGGGAGAGGCCCAACCCTGAACGGCAAAGTATCCGCTCACTGCCCAGGGAGGGGCGTGGCACCGGTGCCCTGACCCCTGACCCACTCTCCTGACTCGACATGTGGCACAGGCCCGGCAGCCGCTCCCTCCTCAGGTTCTCCAGGGTCCGAGCCAAGGAACACCCGGTGAAAACTGCCAGAGAAGAAGAGACGACGGCATGTCCCTCCCGCCCCCGGCCATGAGGGGCACAAAGGTCACAGTCCTGGCGAAGACAAATATTCTGCCCGACAGTTAGGGAGGGACTTTGTGTCCTTTGACCTGGACACTGGAGGCCACAGCTCAGGATCGAGCTGGACAACAGGAAAACCCGGGCACAGGGGGACCCTGCCACGCCTACCTCCAAACCCCTCGGATACAAGCACCATCTAAAAACGTATTTTAACTTTTTCGGATATAATGCCAGTTTGTTGTGGCCAATATATATATATATATATATATCACACTTCAATCCTCCAGAGAGAATTACCGCTAATCACTGGTTTCCCTTTCTTGCCTCTTTTAACAATTTTCCCAAGAACACCTATGCTTATTTCCATATAATTATCCCTTCCTTATTGTTTTTGTGTTTTGTTTTTTTTAATATTAATCCTCACCTGAGGATATTTTCCCATTGGTTTTTAGAGAGAGTGGAATGGAAGGGAAATAAAAAGAGAGAAAAACTTCAGTGTGAGAGAGAGAGACATCGATTGGGTTGCCTCCTGCCCGTGCCCCCGACTGGGGCCAGGGATGGAGCCTGCAACCAAGGGACAAGCCCTTGACTGGGATCGAACCTGAGACCTTTCAGTCCGAGGGCTGGCGCTCTATCCGCTGAGCCAAACCAGCCAGGGCCTTGGCATGTTGTTTTGCAACCTGCGTTTTCACGGGAAAGTACTGTATGCACATGCTTCCAGGTCAGTGATATGAGCGTTTCACACTCCTCTATTGATCGGGCCATGTCCAACAGGCATCGCTGCATGTGCATCATGGCGCACTTGGTCATTTCTCTTCAGGACACATCCTTCGAGGAGACGCCGAGGCACCAGCAGGCACGCGCCTTTTTCAGGGTCTGGTCCGCACTAGCGAACTGTCAGAGCGGGTGGACACGGAGCTGAGAGCTGAAGGATGTTTGATCAGAGAAGGGCAGTGTGGCACAGTGGGGAGATCGCCAGCTTTAGCTGGGTGACGGGGGACAGGCTATGTGGCCCCTCGGAGTCTCTCTCTCTCTTCATCCATAAATGGAAATGAACCAACCTTTCACGATGGAAAGCGTTAGAGACAACGGACACAGAAACCTTCAGTGAGCTCCGCATACTTATCTCTTGGATGAATGGCATGAATTAATGGTTAGGTGGATGGAGGGATGACGTTTTTTAAAATGAGAGAAAGGAGGGAAGGAGAATGAGAAAGGACATCGGGATGAAAGAAAAGGGAGAGCACAGTCGTGGGCAGGTCCAGGTGTGGCTCGTCGGGAGAGGGTGGTCTGAGGGAGCCCCAGGAGGAGAGGCGAGAGCAGGATGCTCCGGGCTGAGCAGAGACTCTCTCTTCCCCACAGGGTCTCTTCTGGGGCCTGGTGGCTGTTGAGGACTTTGTCCCTGGTTCACGAGGATGCCCTGAGGCCCGGAGATAGAACCCATGTCCTGCCCACAGTGGGACCCACCAGCCCGGCTGAGCCCCTACCTCGAGGAACTTGCCACAATCCGGTGAAGGGACCCACGCTGCCTGCCAGCTCACATTTCTGAGCCCATGGGCCGTTGTCGCCTAAAAACCAGAAGGAGCAACATGGGAAGGTCAACAGACCAATGGGCACTTTGGCTGAGTCTCTCTCTCTAGCCCTACCTCCCTGGGCACGGCAGGGGACCGGACAGAGGAGGGGCCTGTACAATCCACCGGGACCCTGCCCTGGAAGCGCTGCTGGGCCTTCAAAGAGCGGGGCTCCCCCTCCCCGAGGCGGTCCCATCGGGAGGCCCATGCCTTGTGGACCCTGGCCTTGTACAGCGTTAGCCATCTCATCGCCCGCGCCACCAGCCCAGCCACTGCCCACTGAGACCCTAGGATGCGCCCGGGGCTTCACACACATGATCTCACAGCCTCCATCATGCTACGGACGAGGCTCCATGGTCAGCTTCCCTTTGCACATGAAGAGACAGGTGTGTCGACATCAACCTTCTCCACAGTCGCCCATGGATTCAAGTCCAGGTGTGTATGGACCCAGTGCAGCGCTCTGACCCCCTGCCCTCCTCCGACCGGGACCTGAGACCCACTGGGCCGTGCGGGCCTCTGAATGGCCCGCCAGTTCCGCTCCACTCAGCCAGAAGACGGGACCTGGCGAGCTGGCAGCCATAGCCCCCGGAGTCCCCGGGACAGGGCAGATGGTGAAGAGGGAGTCTACAACAGTCTGAGCACTCCACAGGTTGGCAACGTCAACGTTATTCATTAATTAAGACTGAAGGGGCCAGGAGGGTACCTGCTCTCTTTGCGCAAACCTGTCCAGGGGCTCAGCGTTGCAGGCCCCCGGTGGACAGGGGCTCAGCATTCGCCAGCCCTCACCGGCAGGGCCCCAAGTTCGGAGCGAGCCCCCTGCCCGGGGGAAGACGATCACATGACCAGACTCAGCTGTCAGGGCGCACGCGCAGTCAGCCGTTGGCGCCCAGTCAGGCAGGCTGGGTCTCGCCACCTCACCTGCAAACCAGAGGAGCGTATTTCCCTTGGCCGTGCGGTCAGCTGCGTCTCTGATCCGGCCCACCAGGCGGTCCATCTCCCGGAGGCCCGCGGCGTACGGGTCTGCCGCCCGCGGGCTCCTGGCCAGGGGCACGTGCATGTGGGCCAGGCCCACGTAGAGCAGGAAGGGCCTCCCGCTGGCGCTGGAACAGAGAGCCACGGGTCACCCTCCCGAGGGCCTCAGAGCAAAGCCCCAGAACACCTCCACCCCACGTACTCGGGGAGTGCGTGTCTGCCTCGAACCTTCCTAGGCTATGTGGAGGCGACCTGGTCAGCCAGTTAAAACCTGAGAGCAGCCCTGGCCGGTTTGCCTCGGTGGCTAGAGCGTCAGCCCTCAGACCAAAGGGTCTGGGTTTGATTCCTAGTCAAGGGCATGTACCTGGGTTGCAGGCCCAATCCCGGCCCGGTCTGGGCATGTACAGGAAGTAACCAGTGGGTATTTCTCTTTCTCTCTCTCTCTCTCTCTCTCTCTTTTTTCCCCTTCCTTCCCTCCCTTCCATGCTCTCTCTAAAGATCAGTGGGACAAATATCCTTAGGTGAGGATTAAAAAAAAAAAAAATTCTGCCCTAGTCCGTTTGACTCAGTGGATAGAGCAGGGGGCCTACTGTGGCTTTGCAGAGCTGAGGGAGGCCAGGGGGCATGGTGGATAGGAGCAGGGGGAGGCCAGGGGCATGGTGGACGGGAGCAGGGGGAGGCCAGGGGCATGGTGGACGGGAGCAGGGGGAGGCCAGGGGCATGGTGGACGGGAGCAGGGGGAGGCCAGGGGGCATGGTGGATGGGAGCAGGGGGAGGCCAGGGGCATGGTGGACGGGAGCAGGGGGAGACCAGGGGCATGGTGGATGGGAGCAGGGCTGGTCAGGGGGCATGGTGGACGGGAGCAGGGGGAGGCCAGGGGCATGGTGGACGGGAGCAGGGGGGGGGCCAGGGGGCATGGTGGACAGGAGCAGGGGGAGGCCAGGGGGCATGGTGGATGGGAGCAGGGGGAGGCCAGGGGCATGGTGGACGGGAGCAGGGGGAGGCCAGGGGGCATGGTGGACGGGAGCAGGGGGAGGCCAGGGGGCATGGTGGACAGGAGCAGGGGGAGGCCAGGGGCGTGGTGGACGGGAGCAGGGGGAGGCCAGGGGGCATGGTGGACAGGAGCAGGGGGAGGCCAGGGGGCATGGTGGACAGGAGCAGGGGAGGCCAGGGGGCATGGTGGACGGGAGCAGGGCTGGTCAGGGGGCATGGTGGACAGGAGCAGGGCTGGTCAGGGGGCATGGTGGACGGGAGCAGGGGGAGGCCAGGGGGCATGGTGGACAGGAGCAGGGGGAGGCCAGGGGCATGGTGGATGGGAGCAGGGCTGGTCAGGGGGCATGGTGGACAGGAGCAGGGGGAGGCCTGGGGCATGGTGGACAGGAGCAGGGGGAGGCCAGGGGGCATGGTGGACGGGAGCAGGGCTGGTCAGGGGGCATGGTGGACGGGAGCAGGGGGTGGCCAGGGGCATGGTGGACGGGAGCAGGGGGAGGCCAAGGGGGCATGGTGGACGGGAGCAGGGCTGGTCAGGGGGCATGGTGGACGGGAGCAGGGGGAGACCAGGGGCATGGTGGATGGGAGCAGGGCTGGTCAGGGGGCATGGTGGACGGGAGCAGGGGGAGACCAGGGGCATGGTGGATGGGAGCAGGGGGAGGCCAGGGGGCATGGTGGACAGGAGCAGGGGGAGGCCAGGGGGCATGGTGGATGGGAGCAGGGGGAGGCCAGGGGGCATGGTGGACGGGAGCAGGGGGAGGCCAGGGGGCATGGTGGACGGGAGCAGGGGGAGGCCAGGGGGCATGGTGGACAGGAGCAGGGGGAGGCCAGGGGCATGGTGGACGGGAGCAGGGGGAGGCCAGGGGCATGGTGGACAGGAGCAGGGGGAGGCCAGGGGGCATGGTGGACAGGAGCAGGGGGAGGCCAGGGGGCATGGTGGACGGGAGCAGGGCTGGTCAGGGGGCATGGTGGACAGGAGCAGGGCTGGTCAGGGGGCATGGTGGACGGGAGCAGGGGGAGGCCAGGGGGCATGGTGGACAGGAGCAGGGGGAGGCCAGGGGCATGGTGGATGGGAGCAGGGCTGGTCAGGGGGCATGGTGGACAGGAGCAGGGGGAGGCCAGGGGCATGGTGGACAGGAGCAGGGGGAGGCCAGGGGGCATGGTGGACGGGAGCAGGGCTGGTCAGGGGGCATGGTGGACGGGAGCAGGGGGTGGCCAGGGGCATGGTGGACGGGAGCAGGGGGAGGCCAGGGGGCATGGTGGACGGGAGCAGGGCTGGTCAGGGGGCATGGTGGACGGGAGCAGGGGGAGACCAGGGGGCATGGTGGACGGGAGCAGGGGGAGGCCAGGGGGCATGGTGGACGGGAGCAGGGGGAGGCCAGGGGCATGGTGGACGGGAGCAGGGCTGGTCAGGGGGCATGGTGGACGGGAGCAGGGGGTGGTGGGCACTCGGCCAGAGGACTCCTCACCTGGCATGCTGGATGATCTGGGTGGCCTTCTCGGCGTACCGGCGCGCGAGGCCGCCCAGGTCCACTGGCTGCTCCAGGATGCGCAGGTTCTCGTACAGAGGAAGGGCCACGTCCGTGTAGCAGTCCCTGTCGGGGCTCCTGGGTACAAACCGCAGACGGGGAGCATTCAGCTCCATGACCTTCTCGGTCCTGAGGCGGAGCAAGATGCTCTAACGCAGGGACACTCCTAACTACAAACCCCTCAGCGGCCTGGCGCCCGGAGGTTTCCAGCCGCCACCTCCTCCGCGTGTGAAACCACCACCTCTTGCATTCCCTCTGAAGAGAAAGACTCCTGAGCTAGGAGCTCTATTGCTTCCACGTTGCTGGGAGGGAAACTGAGGTCTAAACAGACTAAATTACTCAAGCAGAGCCCCTCAGCCCATCAGGAGCCCATCCCTGGCTTCTCGCACTGTCCCCCCAAACGATGACAACGTCATGAGGCACAACATCTGACAGCAGAACAGCAGATGGCCGGGGACAACTGTGAAATTTCAAACCATGTCTAGAGAATTTGGAGAACCTTTAGCCATTGGGGGCGCGGGGGATGGAGGTCAATCCAATAGCCCCTCCAGGAAAAAACAATCGCAGCCCTGGGTCTTACAGAGCAAAATGAGTCTGACCTGTTGCTGAAACTGGTTTGGCTCCGTGGATAGAGCCTTGGCCTGTACCTTGGTTGTGGGCACATCCCCAGTGGGGGGTGTGCAGGAGGCAGCTGATCAATGATTCTTTCTCTCTCATCGATGTTTCTAACTCTTTGTCCCTCTGGCTTCCTCTCTGTAAAAAAAATCAATAAAGTCTGACCTGGTTGCTTCCTGCACATGCCCAGATCAGGGCTGGAGACAGAGCCTGCAACCGAGGTACATGTCCTTGACCGGAATCAAACCCAGGACCCTTCAGTCTGCGGGCTGATGCCCTATCCACTGAGCTAAACTAGAGCTTTATCACCTTTTTCTGGTCGTTAATGTATTGCAGGCTCATCACTGAATTTTGGGAAATGCAATGAGAAAGAAAAAAACACACAGAACTCTTAGTCCCACAACCAGAGTGGATGGCCCATTGTTGGCACACTCCTGTGGTGTCTCCTGACTGACTATACCACATAAACGCTTAGATAGCTATGACCCCACTGGTGGTGATTATTTCCTGCTTTCTCCACTTCAGTCCTGAGCATTTCCCAGTGCGCTGACTGTGTGTGAATGAGTGCCCCGAGGCCGGCCAATGCCAGATGAGGCTTATTTGTCGGGTGGGGCTGGGATGAGCTTGTAAGGAGCCCCGGGTGCTTCCTCTCTGGGCCAGGTGGGTGCCCAGGAGCAAAGCCAGCAGGCAGAGAAGGAGGAAACCCCACTGGTGACGGGGCCGTGCGGGGCTCTGCCCAGCAGAGTTAAACAGTCCCAGGAACCCGGCCAATTCTAATGAGGAAATTCGGTGAAATTCTATTGGCCTCACCATTGCTAGAAGTTTTCTTGCTCTTTTTTTTTTCTTTCTTTCTGTCTTTTTGTTTTCTTTTGCTGTTAATCCTCACCTAAGTATATTTCCCCCCTTGCTTTTCAGAGAGAGTGGAAGGAAGGGAAGGAGGGGCAGAGAGAGACACATTGATGTGAGAGAGACACATCAACTGGTTGCCTCCCACATGCACCCCGACCGGGCACAGGGATCGAACCCACGACCCAGGTGCATGCCCTTGAATGGGACCCTTTCTGCACGGACCACGTGGCCAGGGCGCTGTTTTGCCGTCTTGACTGTCCCGTCAGCCCCTCTGAGTTCCTCCTGGTGGACCACACCCCCAGGGCTGGTGGCTCTGGACCCCACAGCCAATTACCTTGATGGTCTCTCGCCCCGGGGGCACGCCGGACACGGAGGGAGGTCAAGGCCCGGGCTGTCCGTGCAGCCCATATCGTGGCTGTACGGGATCCCAAAGTAGTAATCGAACCCTGGAGGAGAAGCAGCTGGTTAGCACCCCACTCGGCTTCCGTCCCAGGAGCTTGCATTCTTACACCCAGGACAAAAATGTCACCTTCCCCCTTCTCATACCGCAGTGTGATGGAGGGCATAATTAAGAGAGCATTTGATGAATATCCCTTTGCAGTCTGCAATAAACACTTTGGTGGGTTCTGGCGGGAAGGCCAGGTTTGGGACACAGTCTGTGATCCTTTACCCCAGAGCGGGAGGAAATGGAGAGAACGATTAAGCCCCTGCCATCCCGGTGCAGTTACTGACACTTTGGGAAAGTATTGGCTGAAAATCTACTACCCGTGTTTCCCCGAAAATAAGACATCCTCCGAAAATAAGACCTAGCACAACTTAGGGAGAAAAAATTAATATAAGACACCGTCTTATTTTCGGGGAAACAGGATACATGCCTGACGCCGTAAGGGACTAAAGAATAGGTTCTGCCTCAAAATACTTCCCTTCTGAAGGGAACATAATATACACAGATTAAGCTGTAAGAGACGGAGAATCCATAGAACAAGAGCGATTAGGTCAGGGGCGGCGACCCTTTTTTCTGCCAAGGGCCATTTGGATATTTATGACATCATCTGGGGGCCAAAATGACCAACGGGAAAAAATCAGCCTGCTGTATGTATTTGGTCAGACATATATATTTGCGGTTAATCCTCACCTAAGGATATTTCCTCCCTTGATTTTCAAAGACAGTGGAAGGGAGGGAAGGAGGATGTGAACGACAAACATTAACTCAGCGTTTTTCAACCGCTGTGTGCCGCGAGATGTTGCCTGGTGTGCCGTAGGTGCAGACAAGACAAGAATTTTATAATTTTTCACTATTTTGTTTACTTAATATTTCATAATAAAGTAATTATAAAATACTTTCTTTGTGTTTATTTGATTCCTATTCAAGAGAATTACTTTATATATAGTCAATATAGGCACAGAGTTAAATTTTTTAACATTTTCTAATGGTGGTGTGCCTTGTGATTTTTTTCATGAAACAAGTGTGCCTTTGCCCAAAAAAGGTTGAAAAACACTGCATTAACTCACTCCTAATGCCTTGGCAGAGCCAGATCCAATGACTGTGGGCCTTTCGTGGCCCACAGGCCAGGTGTTCCCCACCCCTGGGTTAGAGGAAGACGTTACCCCCAGATGCTGGGTGTGCGTGGGGTGGGGCAGAAATCTCATAGTGCTTCTAGGAAGGGCTGGCATTTCAGCTAGACCTCAGGAAGCTGATGGGCCTGGGCCTGAGGTACTGAGGTGGGGTGTGGGTGTGGGGTGTGCTGAGGGGGGGCGGGGAGGCTGTGAATTAAATTGAGGCATGAATATCCATGTGGGCTTTTTTCTGAGATCCTTTCTCATCCCGTCTCTTCTCCAAGCCAAGCTTTAGTGTGAAGTTTCCCACGGGATTCCTCTACTCCTCCCGCGGGGCCGGGGTCCCTGCATGGGTGGCCCCATCAGACAATGTTTACTTCTTACCACACTAGGACATCAGCCATGTCCCCTGAGATGCAAGGAACCCCGTCAGAGAGAAGAGTGGGGCTGGCGATGGGGAGCCAGGGGGCAGACAGGAACCAAGGATAGGGGACAGGGAGGAGGGTGTGAGATCAAGGGGAGCCCAGGCACCCCAAATGCACCCGGGGGATACTGTGAACAACGATATCCTAACTCAGGAGCAGGATGGCTTCCAGGTTACTCCAGTCCTTTTACACGCAGGTCCTTATTTCCCGTTTCCCAGGTAACAAAGCCCCCAAAGAGTGCTTACCTCGGAAGTTGGGGTGATAAGAGCTGTGATGCCCGAGGTGCCATTTGCCTGCAGGGAAACGAGAAAGAGACTTTCAGAGGCCTCTCCTGGGCCCCAGCCCCTCCGGGAGCTGCTCACACTCTTGGTTCCCCATCAGGTCGCCCTTCCCTGGGTTCTGGCTGCAAGGCCAGATCTGGCTGCAAAGTGATGAGGCTGCAAACACAGTGCCAAAGCCAAACCCTGCTCCGTGGGGCCCAGAGGGAGTCCACGGGGAGAGAGGAAGCGAGCCTCCACAGGAGAACGCAGTGCGAGGGGAAGACACGCCATTCCTGGGAGCCCAGCGAAGCCAGCAGGCTGAGCTTCGCCCCTCCACGAGGTTCCAGTGCCCACAGCAACTCCCCTCTCCCCCCCCCCCCCAGCCAGCTGCACCCCCACTCTGCTCTCCTGGGCTGGGGCCCGGCCAAGGGTGCATGTGCGTGCCCCACACGGTCTCAGAGACGCCTGGTTGCATCATCCTTTCTGGCCAACGCCCACAGCCCGCAGAGCAAGGACGAGAAACGGCCTCCCCACTGCGGTTAAGCGCACTGACACCTACCCAGCTGCCAACGAGCAGACTCCTGGCTCTGTCGATGCCCGAGGTCCAGGCCGGGGTGGGTGGGGGGAGGGGAAGCTGGTGATGCAAGCCAAGTGCTCCGATAATGCTGGACCTCTCTGACCTGCTCTTTCTGCTCAGAGTAAAGAGGCCGGGGGACTCACTCACAGGTAAAAGGGCCCGGAAACAAATGCGGTTCAAAGATCTGAACCCGTGGGCCCTCGCTGCAGCCCGTTAGGTGGCACACCGTCCCTCCTGCTTCATGCCCGGGGGAAGGAGGCAGGGTTCCCACAGGAGGACCCAGCTCTTGGAGAGTCGGAATAACAAGCACAGGCAGACCGAGGCGGATGCCGGGACTGCTGGGTTGCCTCAGGGGAGAGACCGGCAATGAAGCAAAACACGAGACCAAGTTGGACCAGACATGCCTGTCTCCTGTACCCGCTCGGGGCCAGGCGGCGCTGAGCAAGTCTCCACACCTGCCTGGGACTCGGCCTCCCCCCTATAGAGTGTAGGGCGAACCAGACCCAGGGCACGGCCATACGTGGAGCAAATAAACACTCAGCCCAGCGCGGGCACAAAGTAAAGATTAAGTAAGAGGTGCTTCGTGAGAAAGGAAAGCACGCTGGCGGGCAGTGTGGCAGATGCTGCTGATTGCCTGCCCTACGCCCATGTCCCCACTCATCCCGCTCCCAGAACTGTGGTTTTTGGGAACCTGGGGTTGGGAACCTGTGCCTGATGCCAAATCACCCCACCCCCCACCACTATTTCCCAGACTTCCTTGCAACAAAGAGTGGTCATGTGACCCAGCTCTGGCCAATAAGGTGCAAGTGTACTTCTGGGGCTGAGAAGACTGTGTTCCTGATAAAAGGGAACAAGTGGGCTAGCACTGCCTCCCCTTTTCCCTTCCTTGAGGCCAAATGATGGCGAATGGTCTGAGGCTGCTCTACGGCAACCAAGAGGCAACAAGCAGGACAAAAGCCAACAGAGTAAGGGCAGCAGAACAGAAGTGATTTCTCTGAGTGGCTGAGCCGATAGAAGCAATCACTTAGCTCTATGCTTATTAGAATGAGAGGAGAATAGCTCAGATACCCTTTGGCCCGCTGTTAGGCCTTCACAGTTACTCACCGCCGAAAGCATTCCTAGCTTAGACAGCAAGAAATCAACAAAAAAGCAGACAGACGCAGACGAGGCAGCGAGTTAGGGCTACACAAAGGCGAAGCAGCCAGCCCAGGACAGCGGGACCTCAGTTCTCAGACTTAATTCGTTTGGGGAAGGCTGCTCCAATCACATTTTCCCCATTAGAAATAATGTCAATGAATTAACCCGTACCCCACCACAAAATGACCCTCTGTTTTAATCTTTCTCATAGACAGTACATGTCTAATGTACTGTTTAATTTACAAATATGCACTTTGAAAACAAAAAGGACATGAAATGTACATGAAATAAATGAAAAGTCAACAAAACGGAAATTAAATGTATAGTAAAAAAATGAAAATGTAACAGTAATAAGCAGCAACGAAAGCAAAACACATGCACACACACACACACACACACAAATATTCACAGCACGATTTCCTGAGATGTTAACAACATGAGGTTTAGTGGTAAGCTGACTCATACTCTTGTATTCTCTCCTTCGTCACCTGAGAGGCACGTGACTGATCATACAGGTATCAGCATGACAGGGTTGCTGGGTTGAGAAGTGAACTGTTCGAGACAGGAGACATTCGAGAACCCAGGTGTGACTGTAGGTGCAGTGGGAGATGGGGCTGGGGCTGTGGGGCACCCATGTTACCTATCATCCCGGTGACGTAGCCGGCTTGTTGCAGCACCTCGGCCACGGTGGTCTCGTTGAGCGGAAGGCCCCCTACAGAGGTGACGGCAAAGTTGTGTGTGACTCCGTTGCGCAGGCCCAGCCGGCCGGTGAGCAGGGCGGCCCGGGAGGGCGAGCAGGTGGAGGCAGCCGCGTGGAAATCCACAAACCTGCATGGAAAGGGAAGTGATAGAGATCTCTAAAAAAAAAAACAAAAAAACAAAAAAAAACTCGCCCAGTAGAACAAGTAAAGAAAAGGGAGCCCAGAGGAGGAAGGGGACTAACCCAAGGTCACACAGGTCATTCCAATGGATACAATCCAACATATTTAGTGGATCCTCTTTATCCAAAGATTCCATATTTCTTACGTGTATCTGTAACCCCGAAATCAGTACGCCGTGGCTCTTACGCGGTTATACAGAGTCATAGGCAGACCTTTGGGAAATCTCAGACACCTGACCTGCACAGGCCCAGCTGTAGTCGGCTCTCATTTCTATAAGCAAGTGTCCTCCTTTTCAGAGTCTGGTCAGTACCCTGGTTTTTGCATTTTTGTTCTTCCATGTTGTTGATTTCACTGTTTGAAACGGCCCTCGTGCAGAAGGCTGAAGTGCTGGCCAGCGGTCCTAAGCTCAGGAAGGCTGTTATATGCCTTACGGGAAAATATACATGTTCTATAAGCTTCATTTAGGAATGTGTTCTAGTGCTGTGGGCTGTGAGTTCAATGTTAATGAATCAAAAATATATGTTAAACAAGCTGCCCTTAAACAGAAACACACACAAAACAAGGTTCTGTACTGATCAGTTGATGAAAATGTGGCCAGAGGCACATAGGAACCTAGCCTTGTATTTCCCCTAGAAGCAATGGCTCAGTATTCTTCATCTATACCAGTGTTTCCCAAACTTTTGACATATGTGTATCCCTTCTATAATTTTCGTAACACTGAGTACCCCTCATATTCATGAGAACGTAGAATTAGGCGCAGCTAAGCACGTCCCCACCAAACTCCAGTGCATATCCCCACCAAACTCCAGTGCAACACGTACCTCCACCAAACTCTTCCTGTACCCCTGGGGGTATGAGCACCACACTTTGGGAAACACTGATCTACACTAATAAAAGAGAAATATGCAAATTGACCGTATCTTCATGACACCCATCAGCCAATCAGGAGTGAGTATGCAAACTAACCCAACAAAGATGGAGGGTTAATTTGCATATGCAGGCACTGCCCCCAGCTGCTCGGGGCCTCTGGGCAGCGGAAAGGTGATTTTGGGCAGAGCAAGACAGAAAGACAGTTCCAGCCTGAGTGAAGGTGGTGCTGGCAGCCAGGGGAGGGAAGGCCCATTCTTGCACAAATCTTCATGCATCAGGCCTCTAGTAATTCAATAATTATCCAATAACTCGGTGTCCACGGAGACCTTATAGAACATAACTACCACCAATAACAAGAGCTGACTGTACCCGCTACACACTACCATATGCCCAGCCCTCTGTCAGACACCTTGAAAAAGCATAAGCAGTCTAGCCATTTTCCTATCCTTGAGGAACATGACTAAACTTAATGTCACCGACAATGGGGCAACCTGGCCTTGTATGTCTCCTAATGGGATGCAACATGAAGTTCATAAAGTCAAGGATTCCTGCCAAAAACATTTAACTCGAACCTAATCAGTCCCCTGAAGCTAATTTCCAGGTTCCAGAAAATATCACTAATAGAAGAACAAGCTGTTTGACACCACAAGGAAATAAGTGCACAAACCAGCCTCTAGACATTCTATAAAACAACTGGTTGGGGAAAAAGAGCCAATATCTGACGGGAAATTGGATAGAGGGGGGGATACTGTACATTAAAACAGACATAACCAAATGGTCCTTGATGGATCCTAGTTCAGACAAGCTAATGTAACAATACATGTGGGGACTAATTAGAGAAACCTAATATTGACTGGATATAAGATGCAGCTAGGGAATCATTGTTCATTTTCATGAGTGTGGCCATGTGGAAAAATGTCTTTATTATTTTTTCCAGCTTTATTGAGATATAATCGACACATAACATTGTATTCATTTAAGGTATGTGACAGAATGATTTGATATGTGTATCTACTGTGAAATGACCACAATAGTTAACATCCAGCACCTCATATCCAAGTATTTTTCCTTGTGATTAGAACTTCTAACATACACTCTCTTAGCAGCTTTCCAATATACACTACAGTATTGTTAGCTATAGCCACCATCCTATACATTACAGCCCCAAGGTAGAATTATCACCCAAAAGCATATAGTGTAGTCCTCATCTCACTACCTCAGAATGCGACCTTATTTAGAAACTAGAGGCCCAGTGCACAATATTTGTCCCTCAGCCTAGTCTGCACCTTCTCACAGTCTGGGTCCCTGAGGGGGATGTCCGACTGCTGGCTTAGGTCCGCTTGGGCATTCCTTGAGGGGTCCTTAATGCTGCTGTGGAATCAAGAGAAGCTCCTGCCACTGTTGCTGTGCTTGCCAGCCGTGAGCTCAGCTTCTGGCTGAGCAGCACTCGCCCTGTGGGAGTGAACTGACCACCAGGGGGCAGCTCCTGCATTCAGCATCTGTCCCCTGGTGGTCAATGCACATCATAGCGACCAGTCATTCTGCTTGTTTGGTCAATTTACATATTAGACTTTTATTATATAAGATAGTCATTGCAGAGATAATGTTAAGTTGAGATTACAGTGGAGTAGGGTGAATATAAGTTTTCTCTTTACCGCCCAGCATGGCTAGAGAGTTCCTGAGTAAGGGAGGCTGGGGATTGAGAAAAGGAAAAAAAAAAGAGACAGACACAGAGACAATAGGGAAAGCCTGGACTGGGTGGGACAACTGTCCTCTGATGGACAGACAGTGACCCAGAGTTGGTTAAGCACATTTATTATATACAGCATGATTCCAGGAAGTTTTACTAGAGTTTAAGACAAAGGAAATTATGTGAAATCATGGTTAAAGATCAAGCTGTAATTCTTCATTCTTGTGGCTTCTTGGTAATTGTCACTCCTGATGAGCCTGGATAATTGCGTCTGTTCCTTGCACCTGGCTGAACTTAGATAATGAAACCCATCTCCTGGCACCTGAGCTAAAGGTCAGGCTGACAACATACCTGCCTCTGGCAAGGTGCGTTTCCAGGACATGGCTCTGTCAACACCATTGGACTCAGCCGACAATTAGCTCCTGTGCCTTCCCAGGCACTCTCTACAGCACATGTGTCAAACACAAGGCCCGCGGGCCAAATCCGTCCCGCCAGGCCTTGCAACGTGGCCCGCACCACGCTGTCATCACTGCACTCCGCTGCGTTTCCATCACAATGACAGTTTATGACTGTTCAGTAAACCATTCGGCCAGCGATTTAGGCTGGATTTTAGATTTTGGCCCCTTCTCTGATTGAGTTCGACACCCCTACTCTACAGGTTGAGTCCTTAACCCAATATAATTGGTGTGTTTATTAGGAGAGAGAGACAGTGAGGAGAATGCCACATGCAAACAGAGACACACGGAGGGAAGGTGGCCCTGTGAGGACAGAGGTAAGGACTGGAGTTATACTGCCTCAGGCTAAGGAGTGCCTGGGGCTAACAGAAGCTGGGATAGGCAGGAAGGAACCTCCACTGGAGTTTCCTAGGGGCCTAACTGCCAACACCTTGATTTTTAATGTCTAGCTTCCAGAACTGTGAGAATAAATTTCTGTTGTTTTAAGCCACTCAGTTTGTGGTCTTTTGTTACAGCAGTTACAAGAAACTAAATACACCACCTGCATAGGCCCAGCATTCATCCCAACAGGACCCTGATTCCTGGAGCATCTCACATCCCACACACAACTCTCCAGCTCAACACCTTGGCTCTGCTGTATCTCAGCCCAGAGTGCTTTACCCCTCACCTCCCTCCCAAATTCCTACCTGTCCTCTGAAACCTACCACTGTCTGCCACACAGTCTTTCTTTGTCCCCCAGGAGGATGGGCCTTGACCTTGACCTCTGCAGCCTCTTCATGTCTGAATGGCGACATTCATCTGACATCAAAGCCCTTATGAGAGTCATGCCTTCCTGTGGTGCCTGCACCCCTTCTCTACCTGCCCATCCTCAGGACTCCTGTGGGGCTGCGGATGCCTGTTCCCTGCCCCCACTCTCACTGGCCTTAGACTGAGGAAGTCCTAAGACCTGCCCTCAGTGGTATCAGCTCTATCAGCTCCAAAGCCTGACTTACTTCTACACAACCATGGGAGTCAGAGAGAGACACACAAGAACATCCATTTCCCAGCTGACCTCCGGGGATGGGCACAGCACGTCAGTGGTCCATGTTTCCTTCCTGCTCACAAACTGCACAGGAAGCCAGACTCCGAAGTTTGCCTTGGTGGGTGTGGAGTTAACTAACTAAGGGCATCAAATGGATTGCTAAGCTTAAGGGACTTCTATCCACAATGGAGTTAACTTTGCCAGTGGGTCTGGGATGCTCAGAGGCTGTTGACCACCACTTCTTCACCCCTGGTGCTACAGGATGAATGTTTGTGTCCTCCAAAATACGTCTGTTAAATCCCTAAAAAAGTGATGGCTTTTGGAGGTCAAGCCCTTGCGAGGTGATCAGGTTTAGAGGAGGTCCTGAGGGTGGGGCCCCCACGATGGGATTAGTGCCCAGATAGAGAAGGAGACCAGAGCACTGTCTCTGTCTCCACATGAGGACACAACGAGGGGTCAGCCAATTGCCATCCAGGAAGGAGGCCGTCAACATAACCTGGCCACATTGGCAACCTGACCTTGGACTTCCCAGCCTCCAACACTGTAGAGCAAGCATGTCAAACTCAAAGGCTAACACAGGCCAAATAAACAAGGCATGTGGCCCATGGGCCATGAGTTTGACATGCTTGCTGTAGACTCTACAATGTAGAGAATAAATGTGTATTGTTTAAGCTCCCCGCTCTGTCCTATTTGTTGTAGCAGCCCAAGTGAATACACCTAGGCAGTGCCAAAAACACATGGCGATCCTGACCCTGACCCCACCCGCCTATTTCTCGTGACTCTCCTGAGAGCAGGCTCTCCTTGGCCATGGTAACGCCATCACCTTGGAAACAGCTGCAGCACATTTCTACAGCAAGATGGAGCTTCGAGCTCCTTCCCAGTCTGTAGGTTTTGTGAGAATGTGACCTGGA